AGAGAGAGAGAGAGAGAGATTTCCCTTGCCCTCCAGCCTGTCTGTGTGCTATTTTTATGTAGCTTTGCCCCAGACCGCTAACGTTAATAGGGGAACTAGCAGAACTGCTGGGCAAACAGTGGTGCTAAGCAGGAAGTCTCAACAGTAGAAAAACTACATTTTCTCCTACGTTTATTGGGCTCCTTCTCCTCAACTTCTATTTTGAGGTTGCTCCAATCTTACAAGAAAAAGAAAGCCTCACCTGGGGCTTTATTCCATTGTTTTTCATCGGTCTCCAGCCTTCTAGTCCCAGTAATCAGTGCACTCTGGTTTCTTCACCATCACCATGCCTACCTGCAACTATTCACAATGAGCTAAAGAGCCACCTTCTAACTCAAATTCAAAGGATCCAGTCCCCACCTTGATCTCTTGGGAGCAGTTATCACTGCTACACCCTTCTAGAAACTTACTGTCCCCCTTTTTTTATATATATACATAATATTTTTTATTATTTTAGAGAGAGTGTGTGCACAAGCAGGCGAGAGGCAGAAGGAGAGAGGGGCAGAAGGATAGAGAAAGCTAATCTTAAACAGACTCCACTCTCAGCCCGCCAAGGCTCAACCCCACGACCATGGGACCGTGACCCAAGCAGAAATCAAGATTCGGACAGTCAATCCATTGGGGCACCCAGGTGCCCCATTTGTCCCCTTGCTTCTAAGACACCAATCTCTTGTTCTCCTCTGACCAGGCCTCAAGTCTCTTTCCCTTCCACCAATCCTTAAAGGTACATGTTTCACGGGGATTTCATCCTTACTGCTTTTCTTATCTCACTCTAAAGGCTTTCTGTGGGTGATCTCACCATCTATGGCTTCAACTCCTGGGCTCTTAAGTGTTTGGCCCTGACCCTACTATGAACTCCAGGTCCACCATTTTATTTGTCTACAAAGTGACTCCCCCTGGGGGTTCCACGGGCCACATCACAATTATACGTTCTGACCTTAACTCGGTGTTTTGTGTTCCCTGAGAGCAGCATTTGCACCTGTTTTCCTTATTTGGTACTGTTATCCACCAGTCACAGGAGTCATCCCTAGACTCTGTACTCTCCTCCCTCCTTCGACCGTTAGATTTAATCTGTCACTCAACCCTATGGTTTCTGTCTCCTTCATGATTCTTTTCCACCATCACTGCCCCCACTTTATTCATTGAGAGAGGATTAGAGATGTGCATCAGAATCACGTGTGTGTGTGTGTGTGTGTGTGTGTGTGTGTGTGTGTGTGTTATGCCCCTCCTCCAGAGATCTGAACCAGCATATACCCTTCCTTACCTGCATTGTTCTTACTCTTCCCTGATCTCCAGTCCATCTCCCACACGGCTGACAGAAAGACCTTTCTTTTCAAAAATTTTTTAAAAATGTTTTTGAGAGCGAGCACAAGTCGGACAGGGGCAGAGAAAAGAGGACAGAGGATCAGAAGCAGGCTCTGCGCTGACAGAAGACAGCCCAATGTGGGGCTGGAACTCACAAATTTCGAGATCGTGACCTGAGCCGAAGTCAGGTCAACCGACTGAGCCACCCAGAATGATCTTTCAAAAATGCAACCTTGATTGTACTGCAAACTGTCTTGCTTATTTTTTCAAAGGTTCTTCAGAACCTTCAGGTTCTTTATCCTGAAGAATAAAGTCCAAACTCCTCTGGAAACCCTTCATGCTTTGGTTCTTGCCAGTAACTTCCACCTCATCTCTTGCCACTCCCTCCTGGGCACCCTGCACTCAAGCCTTATCAAAGTGTGGTACTTGCTGTTCCTGGAACATCCGTCCTTCTTTGCCTTGCTGTTCTCAGTGGATATCACCCCTCATTCCTTCCTACTTAGAAGTCACCTTGTTCCAAAAGCCTCTCCTGATCTCTCCAGGCAAATAGGAATTCTCTGTGTTTCCACGGTACCTCGTTCATATCATGATTCTATATTTATTATCGGATAATTATATTTGTGTTTATACAACGTCTCACCCACTAAACTGTGAACGGACTGTTCAGTTCATTGTTGTACGTGCCCTAATGTAGAGCCTGGCACAGAATATGTACTCAACAAAATGTTGACTGAATGAAATTTTGAAATGAGTAAGTTTTATATTTTTCTGATTTCTTAAAGTACACAGTGTTTAATATATCTTAAATAATACTACTGACCTATTCTCAGGATAGAATTGCCCTCTAAAACCCTTTTAATGATAACAGTTTATATTTAAACAGTACTTTTAACTTTTCAAAGCACCTTTCCCCCAACACTTATTACAAGTATTTCCAAACATATGGAAAAGAAAAAGAATTGTAAGTGAACACCCATACACCCATCACCTAGATTCTAATTTGATATATTTGTATATTTGCAGAATACTTTTTATGGGCTAATTTTGTTATCACCTTTTATTTCATGTAATGACTGAGGTATGATTCTATGTTTTATAGATAAGGAAACTGAGACCAAGAGGGCTTAATGACTTCCTAAGGAGATTATTTCCTGGAGTTGTGATCAACTTGTGCCAGCTGACACATCCTTACCTTCTGGGTGTTAGATAAATAACCCTCCTCTGAAAAGTATTTTGAATATTCTTGCTAATGAAAAGCTTCCAACTCTGTAAGATAGGAGAATCAGCAAAATCATGGGAAAACCAACAAGAAAACATTTCTAGCTCCTAAGTCACTCAAAGAGGAATCCAATCTTGGATATTCTTCCCCCTTAACGCGCCCCTCCCCCCCACTTCATTCCTGGTTAGTCATTTCCGGCCCAATTGGAGAAGTTTCTTCCATTCTTTTCTAGTACCAGATGCAGATCTAAATTATCTTTCATTACAGCTAGTCAACTCTCTCCTGCCTTTTCTTTTTTAATGTTTATTTATTTATTTTTAGAGAGAAAGAGAGTGCGAGCAGGGGAAGGGCAGAGAGAGGGAGAGAGAGAGAATCCCAAGCAGGCTCACACTGTCAGCACAGAGCCCCATGAAAGGCTCCATCCCACAAACCATGAGATCATGACCTGAGCAGAAATCTAGAGTGGGATGTTCAACAGACTAAGCCATACAGGCGCCCCTCTCCTGCCTTTTCATGTGCCAAGAATACACGACCTCCCAATTAAAACATGACCCTAATTCATATCTTTGCCTAGCTCACAAAACATCAACCATTCTCATTTTCTACCAAATTAAGTCTGGTATAATCTCTGCCATCCACACTATAACCTATCTAAGCATCTGTCTTCTTGCCTTAGCTTCCATCCTACATAACCAAGAAGAGTTGTTTCCGCAAATACAACCAGGGCTTTCTGCTTACTTCCTTTCTTCGTGTATAAATCACCACCGCTCCCCCTCCCAAATTCCACATGTGTTGAATTCTAGACCTCCTAGTCATGGCCCAACTCAAATGCCAATTCTAATAAACCTAGAACACTCAAGCCGGTTATAACCTCGATTGTCACGCTTGTGGATCTTGTGGCACTGATTTTAATCTACCTTGTAGAGCTTTATAGTCTGATTTCTCTTGCCATCTCCTGCCCCCTTTGCCTGAGTAGAGCACCCTTGAAGAAAGGGACATTGTCTTATCCATCATGGCCTTCGCACACAGTCGGTGCTTTACACGCTCAATTTCGTTTAACGAAACATATACTTCCGAAGGGACCGGAGGCGAACGCCCATTGCTGTATTCACACATACACTCACACGCACATACAGATGCTGTCTTCCACCTGGACACACACACGTGTCCCCAGGGCCACAGCCCTGAACTGTCTCGGGATCCTCCGCCTGTGGGCGCTTCCACTCCAGCCAGCGGAAGGGGAGGCTCATTCCTTTAAGACACTCTAAAAGATACTTGTTACTTTAGATCTTCTACAGCCTCCGCCCTACGAAGAGCTTAAGATCTCCTTCCTTTCAAAATACTATTATTCCGAGTCAGGGAGCCGCAGCCTGGTCGCGCCAGGGTCCGGTCCCACGGATCCCCCCTCCTGGTCCCGTTTGGTCGCGCCCGCTTTGTCAGCGCGCTGCGCTAGCCGGTTACCCTCCAGCTCTCGCCGGCCGGCGGCAGACCGAGCTGGTGCTCCCTGAGCTGCCGTAGCTCCCGCGTCTCCCTCCCGGGCTTGTCTGCTCAGCACTGCCCTCAGGCCTGGGCTGGGCGACTAGGAGCCTGGGAGCATCGGCTCAGAAGGTCCCCGAGAGTCTGCTCGTTTCGCCCGCCTCGGCCTCGGCCAGGCTCCGCTCCTCCCGCGCGCGAGGGGCCTCGGCGGTTGTGGCGGCGGCGCCCGGCATGTATCAGAGCCCGCGGCGGCTCTGCTCCGCCCTGCTGCAGAGGGACGCGTCCGGCCTGCGCCGCCTGCCCACCCCCGGGCTGCGCCGCCAGTCGCCTCCGCCGGCGGCCGCCCCCCGGCCCGCGTCCCCCCGGCTCCTGGCGGCGGCCTCAGCGGCCTCGGGCGCCGCGAGGTCGTGTTCCCGAACAGGTGAGTGCGCGGTACCGGGCGGAGAACCCCGCGGCTGCCGACCCGCGGCCGCCTCCTGGGGACCGCGCGGAATGAATGGGAAGCCCGGGGCTGCCAGGGTGTGGGGGTTCTGGCCGGGAAGCCGGCCCTCCTCTCCCCGAACAGACGACTCTTCCCGTTTTCCGCTTTCCCCTTGCCCTGCCTATCCTGGGGTTTGCGTCCAGTAAGAACTGGAACACCTTTCAGGGTCCCGTTTGATCCTTGGATGCGGTGCCTTTGGTATTTCTCGCTCTTAACGCTAAATCTGCCCCTTCCGAGGCCGCAAATTAACTTGTGTCTGTTTTACTTCCTATTGCGCTAATTAAGCAAATTTTGTGCAAAAAAAAAAAAAAAAAAAGCCATCGAAAGTGGTATTTTTTGATCATGGATCTTGCATGATTTAGATGTTATGAATTTCTTTAAAGTTATGCTGACTACATGATAACACACATTGACTGGTTTTACATTTACGTATTTGGATTTTTCCGGAGTCTTCCACTCTTATTACTTAGGTCAATCTGTGTGTACTGTATACCTGGGTTAAGATCTTGTAAAGGTGATGCCTTCGTTTGTCAAGAGCCAATGTGATACATCACATACATACCCTGGACTTTACCTTTTTTGCCACCTCCGTTTCTGCCTGAGGACACATTGCTGAGGCTAAAAATTACGTACAAAGTAATGATACTGTTTTAAATAAGAATGAAGGTTCTCTTTCAAATCTGGCAATTACTACATCACACTAAAAAGTGTATCTTGGCCATGCTCAAGTTAGGTTATTGCTGTTTAAGACCTTTGTATAGCCATCCTAGGTTATAAATACATTTTCCTCAGAAAGTTTTGGATTGATTTAAGAACTGAGCAGTAGAAAAAATATGTTTAATGGGACTTTCTTTTATTAATGAAAGTGATAATCTAAAATCTAAACGTGATTGAAGCCAAGACTTTAAACTCTTCGGGGTTCCTGGGTGGCTCTGTAGGTTAAGCCTCTGACTTCAGTTCAGGTCATGCATGATCTGTTTCTTGAGTTCGAGCCCTGCTTGGGACTCTGCTGACAGCTAGGAGCCAGGAGCCTGCTTGGGATTCTGTCTCCCTCTCTCTGCCCATCCCCCACTTGCACTCTGTCTCTCTCAAAAAACAAATAAACATTAAAAAAAAAAAAAAAAGACTTTAAACTCTTCTCAGATTATTAGCAGATGTTTAGGCTGAGATGTACCTTTAAAATTAGGATGCTAAACTGGTTACTTTAGACTCAACTCCATATTATTCTTTACAAAGGGTGAACTTGACAGTCCTATTCAGCTTTTTTGGTTTTTTGTTTTTTATAGTGTGATGAACATGTCGATTACATGAAATTCACAGGGTTTCTTTTCTTTTTTTTTTTTT